GTGATAACCACCGACAGCAGTGCCGAACAGCCTCCTGCAATCGATATCTCTCAATTAGGGTATGTGTGTGCTGTTTGTTGCCTGTGTCTGTGCCCTGCCAATTAGCAGCAATTGCTAACTATGTGTCGTTCTTTCTTTCTCTCTTTCTTTCTTGCTCACTTTTTTTATTTTTTTTAAAGCGCCGCGCAATTACCTTGATCAAATTGCTGAAAATCGCAAGTTGGAGGAACAACAATTAAACTTGTACAAGGCCAGCCACGAAATGATGACAGAAATGATTTCCATCCTCAAAAGCGAGCTTCAAAATTTAAAAGATCAGATCTCTGCGGAGAATCTGCTCAAGCAAAAGATGCGCATCAAATTGGCGGAGGCCAAGAGCGCCAAAAACTCCTCCACCTCGGCGGGCGACCTGCGCAAGGACGAGGAGAAGGACCAGGAGCTGCAGCAGGACATGATCAACGCCCAGGCGCAGCACAATGCGGGAACAGCGCAGGCGATCAAAGAAATCACCGACCTGCTGGCGGCGCTGCACGAGGAGACCCTGGCCAAAAACCGCCTGCAGATGGAGATCACCGACCTGCAGACGGAGATCACCGACCTGCAGTCGACGCTGCACGAGGCGGAGCTGGACAAGGCCTGCCTGCAGATTGAGATCACCGCCAAAGACGGCGAATTGGAGCGGAACAAGGCGGCCGCAGCGCAATACGCCCAGAAGATCTCCAACCTGCAAGCAAAGCTGCACGATGAGGCGCTGGCGAAGAACCTCCTGCAAATGGAGATCACTGCCAAGGGCGACGAGATGAAGCTGAAGAGGATGAAGCTGGAGCAGGCGGCCAAGGAGATCTACGACCTGCAGGTGACGCTGCACGAAGAGGCGCTGGCGAAGAGCCGCCTGCAGAAGGAGATCACTGCTAAGGGCGAAGAGCTGAAGCTGCAGCAGGTGAAGCTAGAGCAGGCGGCCAAGGAGATCAACGACCTGCAGGTGACGCTGCACGAAGAGGCGCTGGCGAAAAGCCGCCTGCAGAAGGAGATCACTGCCAAAGACGAAG